GGGTTGCAGAATATAATTAGAATTATAGCTGACATTTGTTGAGTGCTGAACACCATCCCAACTTCGTGGATTGTCTCGTTATCTTTGCAAAATCAGCATGCAATAGGTACTATTTTATAAATTGAGGCACAGAGAAACTCATTTGGAGTAGAGTCAGAGTAAGAAACTAGAAATTAAAATCAATCATGAATACTAACAAGCATGAAGCAGATCACAACTAACTTTGTGTTAAATAGGAATTTTCTGACATCGATCAAGATGGAAACTCACAGCAGAAGAATTTATCCTGGCTATGCACCTAATTGATGTCGCTATGTCTGGCCAACCCCTGCCACCCGTCCTGCCCCCAGAATACATCCCACCTTCCTTTAGGTAAGGAGCATTTGGCTCTTCGGGGAAATTATGTGCTGAGACATAAATTCCAGATGACTTGGTTGACTGCACATCTTGCAGTCGTTGTTCCTGGCAAGTGAATGAAATAGCCATGAAGTCAAGAAAATCTTCTCATCTTGGTTCTGTGTTAATCCTAAGCCTATTCTGTGCTTTAAAGTACTTATAGTAATTAGTAATCAATCAAGTACAACATCAAAAGATGGTGATTTTGGACCAATCTGTATAATTGAAGCTCACCAGAAACTAATAGCAATTAAAGTGAAATTGTTTCAAGCTATATGTGGAAAATAAAAGGAGATTCTGCCTGTAAAGTCTATATTTGTTTATATTCCAGAGGTAACAAAATGCCGCAATATAGAAGTTACATATAGCCAGGAAGATAATGAGATGATCCTGGTTTGAAATAGAGGCTGAATGGAGATACTGAGAGAATAGACCAAGGTCCAGTGGGGGAAATGTACAGTGACTGGAATGTTCTTCCTGCCAGTCCCATGCAGACTCCCTGCCCTCCACATGGCTGTATCTCAAGGCTTAACCTGAGAGACAGTGAGAGCTTCTGAGCATGAATAAAGAGAAAGGAACATAGATGAGAATTTCTGGAGACACATAGAGGAGAGACGTGTAGAGATAACTTGGCGGAGACATGTAAGAGAGAAACGTGTGGGAGACTGCTCCCCACCCTTGGCAGAGGTGGTAGCAGCTGTTATCTTGGCCTGGTGGTGGAGTATGTGATTATTTTTGGATTTTCAGTCTTTCCTTCTGTCCAGCTTTCTAGACCTGCCTAACCCCTTTCTTATGGTTCCTGCCAGAAGGCACCTTTAGATGCGGCAAACTTCTGATCCCAGCATCCCCAGCTCTTTGGCTGGGGCATTTATCCTTGAGGCAATGGGTATTTTTTGGAGTTTATTGGGAATATTATTTGAAATCCTTTCTTCTCTTTCTATGCATATCAATTCTATTAAAATCTTTCAGAATAAGAAAAAAAAACCCTCTGTCTTAATTCCTTAACATCATTAATTCTTGGGGAAAAAATCCTTATAAAAGTAAGAGAAATGAAGCCACACTGTCAGCACATCAGGCCAGGAGCAAAATGAGAAAACTGTGACTGTGTGGGAATAAAATAGTAGCTGGGATGTTTGTCTCCAAAATCCTGTGGAATCACCAGGGGACACGACCCTGGAAGCTGTTAAAAAAAAGCATCATAAAGAGATGGATGAGTTTAGAAGAGCCAAGGTTAGTGGCTTGAAGGGAGTAAAATTTGTTCTCACAACTCTAAGTGTAGACGTCTCGGGTTTATTGAGAGATTAAGTGGAGAGACTGTGTAAGGGGAAACGAGATGTGCCCAGTGAACTGAGCTGCTTATATTCCCTGGAGAAATTTGATTCTTGGAGGAATTTAAAATACATGAGAAAGTAGTGGCAACAGCCGCAAACACTTGCACACACAGGTACTGTTCTAACCATTTTTATGATCATTAACTAATTTGTCCTTTGGAGTTGTCCTGCTTCTGGTGGTTTGAACAAGCTGGGCACCTGGAGTGTGAGGGCATTCAAATGTGTAATATTTATTTTTAAATAGTTCTTTTATGAGTCGAAAGAACCAAGTCTTTGTCTTTTCCTCTATATAAATGAAATTTGCCCGTGATACCACATATACTTAAAAATATATTCCCGTAATTTGCTCAGTTCTACCTAGACCCCCTTTATGTGATTCTATTTCATTTCTTTTCTTCCCCGCCCCTCATACCCATAATTGCAGAAGAGTTCGATCTGGCAGTGGTATATCTGTTGTAAGCTCATCATCAGTAGATCAGAGGTTACCAGAAGAACCTGTCTTAGAAGATGAACAGCAACAGCTAGAAAAGAAATTACCCGGTAAGACTGTCTTTATATTTGAGTTATATCATATTAGAGATTTTTTATCTTTAAGGCAAAGATAATAGTAAAAATAAATGTAGCTGTTGACCTTTTGGCTGTATTCATTTAAATGACCTTAGTCAGGAGTCATTTTTAATATGTTTTTGAATTTGGATATTTGTAGAGAAGTAAGAGTGTTACGTGCTTTACTAACACACCTTGTTTTAGCTTTTAAATTGAAATTGAATTATTTCAATTAAATTGAATTATTTCAATTAAACTAATAAAAAATTATAAATGTTATCTATTAGACCCTCTAAGTTGGTGAGCATTAATGTGGTTGCTTAGCACTACCAGCACAGAAAGAGAATGTAAAATCATCTCCTGTAATTTTCTCATACTGTTAGAGAAACTCCTGTATTACAGGAAACTATTTTAAATTCATTGAGCCTATTTTAAAAAAAACCTCATTTATAACAATAAGTCCATCATACTATTAAAATATTCTAAGGGGCCTCACCTGGTGGCGCAGCTGGTTGAGCGCCGCGCTATGAAGCTGTCCGCAGCCTCTGTAGGCTGGTTTGATCCTGGCCGGCTGGCGAGGGTCCCACATGGCTGGCAGACCACTCCTGTTGTGCCCGCTGCTTCCCTCAGCAGTGTATTTCGTCAGTCTGCCTGTTCTGTTCCCCGCTCTGTCTCTGGTGAATCCTCTCACCCTCCTGCACATCTGGCCTGTACCCCAGTTCTTGTATAAATAAATAAATAAATTTTTAAAAAATAAAAAATAAAATATTCTAAGGTGGCTGTGAATTTTTAAGGATAACAGTTGATGCCAAGAAGCAAGTGAAATGTATTTGGAGTCTCTCTGTGTTAACTACTTGGTGTTGTTTTGCTTCATCTGAAGTGCTTCGTGGTTAACTGACATGGTCAGCTCTCCCAGCTTCCTCTTTAAACCAAATGACTTTATTTTATAAAGATAAATATTGGATGATTTCACCGATGTGGGGACTAACTACAAGGAACCAAAGTGGGTGAACTTGCAAAACAAATTAAAAATAAACCAGTGGACACTGATAACTGAGGATACCAGAGTGAAGGGGGTGAGGGTGGGAGAAAGGTGAAGGGTCTGAAGGATGGTGGTGGGTGTTTTGTCATTGCTTTTTTTGTTTGTTTGTTATAAAAAATAAGTAAAATTGAAGGAACTTACCTCAGATGGGAAAACAACCATATAATTTAAATGGATTTGTTTGTTAAAAGTCAACTCAAACAAGAAGCATAGAAATATGTTGACATATACAACAGAGATGAAGATGGGTTTCGTACAGGGGTGGGGGGAATCGATGGTAACAAATTTGAGTTTGAGGAAGAGAAAGAAGACCTGGATCTGCATGATTGGAACTGCAGAAGGAGAGGTGGTACAGATGAGGTAGGACAGGTGGGCAGAACCTAGATCCCTTAGACATGGAGGTCACAGTAAAGAATTGAGTTTGGGGTGAGACCTTAAGCAAGGAAGAGGTTTTCAGTTTGGGCAATGAATAGAATGAAAGTCAGAGGCTGGAGGAGGCATTTGCAGTAGTTCAGATGAACAGTGGTAATGAGGGCTAGAACAGCAGAGACAACATGGAGAAGAGATTGAATTAGGGATCTATATGGGAAGGAGAATAAACAGAACTTTCTGGCCAGTTTGTTGTGGGACGTAATAGAAAGTAATGAATCAAAGGCCTCTTGCTGCCTTGGGCACTGGGTGGCTGGTGAAGCTACTTAGGACGACAGGTAGACTGGGAATAAGAAGTAGGGCAGATTATGGTAATTCCTCCTTGATGCTGTTTCTCTCTTCCTCCTTGCTAGATAGATTAATTAAGTACTTGACTAAACGACTTTTTGTTCACTGATAAACTGCTTATTGAAAATGTTCTGGTGCACGGGGATGTGTTGAGTATAATGAAGGATCAAAATGTTAGTAAGAACACTTGGTCCATACTCAAGGTTATGATGTGTGACGAGTTAAGACATCGGTATCAGAGCAGTGATAAATGCAATAGATTCCTGAAGATAGCATTGTAGGTGCATAGCAGAGCTCACTTTTGCCCGGTTGGTGTAGACTGGGAAAGAAACAAGGAATTATGTGCCTATGTACCAGAAATAGGGTCAGATTTCGGAATTAAAAAGATATATGGACTTTGATTTTCTTTTAAAATTGAGGTAGAATTCACATTATATAAAATTATGATCATTTAAAAGTATAGAATTCAGTGTCTGTCAGTCGGCTCAGACTGCCTTAAACACAGTATGGGTGAGAGCTTCTCTTGCCCAGAGTGGGCTTCAGGGAGAGGTGTGTGGGGCAAACCCACGACTGAGTAGACACTGCTGAAAACATAGAACAGGACACAAAGGGTGAGAATTTTAAAAAGAAGTAAAATAAAATGGATATAAACAAAGTGTTATCCAAAGAGGACAGAGTGTAGAAGCAGAGGTCAAGTGAAGTATATTTTCTAGACAGGGACAGACAAGCCTTGCCTGGCAACAGAAATCACGGCATCCAGCCTCTTGGCAAACAGTGGAGCCTTGAGAACACCAAGCTGTACTGTCTGCTGCTGCCCTGAATCACAGTGGAGATACGGAAATGTGGGACTTTAGGCTGTACCATAAGCCAGTGGGTCCCTTTGTTTCCACCCTTACTCCCCGCCCCGCCTCAGTACTCTCAGCTCTGTAGTCCTATTCCCAGGGTTTGTTTTGGTTTAGTTTATTAGTTCTTTTTCCCTCCTCTATTTTCTAGGTGCGTGAAATCATCTTTCTCCTTCTGACTTATTAACCCTGATCCCCTCCAGTTCTGTCCATGAGTTCATTTTTTTTTTTTTAATATAGCTGAGTAGTGTTCATTGTTTATATATATACCACATCTTCTTATTCACAGCTCTGTCATTGAGCATTTAGGTTGTTTCCATAATTTGATTATAGTAAATAGTGCAGTGATTGTAGAAGTGCATATATCCATTTGGGCTAATGATTTTGTATTCACTAGGTAGATACCAGGAGTGGAATTGCTGGATCATTTGACAAATCTATTTTTAATATTTTGAGGAACATCCATACTGTTTTTCATAGGGGCTCAACCAGTCTACATTCCCACCAACAGTATATGAAGCTTCATACACTTAAACATTTGTTGTTTGGGGCGTTTTGCTTGTTTTTTGATATGGGCAATTTTCACTGGAGTAAGGGGACTGTCTCATTGAGGTTTAGATTTGCTTTAAGTGAAAGGCATTTTCATAGTGTTTTTTAACAAGGGCACAAGCAGGAGGACACTTGGGGGGGCATCTAGGTTTTCATTTATATTACAAATTTCAAATACGCCAGTGGTTTTTTTCCTTTGATAATAGTTTGTTGAAAATCCTGATTTTTCATAATTATTCGGTTTCTTGTTGTCAAGTAACATTTGAAGATAAGAAGCGTGAGAATTTTGAGCGTGGCAATCTGGAGCTGGAGAAGCGAAGACAAGCTCTCTTGGAGCAGCAACGCAAAGAGCAGGAGCGCTTGGCACAGCTCGAGCGGGCAGAGCAGGAACGGAAAGAACGAGAGCGCCAGGAACAAGAGCGCAAAAGACAACTGGAGTTGGAGAAGCAGCTGGAAAAGCAGCGGGAACTCGAACGTCAGAGAGAAGAGGAGAGGAGGAAAGAAATTGAGAGGAGAGAGGTGTGCAGCTGTGGAGCAACCCCATAATTGGTGCATGTGATCCTGCCCCTCTAACTATCTTCAGAATTATTCAGAATATATTTTTCTTCTTACAGTTCAGTAGTAGCAGTAGTTGTAGTATATTCACAAATTGTGCACCTATCACCACTAATGATGGAAGATTTTCAAGACCCCAAAATAAACTCCTTATGCAACAATTATTCCCTCCTTCCTAACCCCTAACAACCATTAATTTACTTTCTATCTCTGTAGGCTTGCCTATTCTGGATGTTTTGCATGACTGAAATCATACATTATGTGACCTTTCGTGTCTGACTGTCACTCAGCATATTTTTAAGGTTCATCCCTATTGTAGCATGACTCAATACATACTCCTTCTTTTGATGATATACCACACTTTGTCATTAATCAGATGGTGGACATGTGGGTTATTTCACTCTTGGGCTATTATGAACAAAGTTGCTATGAACTTTCATAGCAATGCCATGGTTCTCATTTTTCGTGAAGTATATCTTAAAAATGGGGCATTTTTCTTTATAAAAAGTAATACTTGGGTTTAATTTTCTGATGATTGCTTGAGAATACTTGTAGCCACAAATGCCTTTTATTCAGACAGACACACAGATACTAACACGATTTTAATTTTCAGAATGAACAACCAAAATATTAATCAACCTTCCCTTCTTTGGGTGTTTTAAAATAAAAAATATTGATTTATTTGGAATTATTTAATAGCTTACCACATGCCAGGCATCGATAGTTCCTGGAGATATGGTGGTGAGTTGCTACTCCACCTGCCTTCCAGAAGGCCTTACAGTGTAGTCGGAGACCAAGCCAAGGAGAAGCAATTGCAGTACAATAAAGAATTTTAGGTGTGCCAACAAGTACTTGACTTCTTGACATCATTGTCAACTTTGAAAAGACCTCACATTGCCAGAGAAATCATAGAACCTTTTATGGCAAAATTGAAATGAATGATTAGAAAGATTGGGTCATAAACTTTTAAAGATAAGTAATTTCTTATTTGATGGATGAAATTATAATTACTCTTTTGATGAAAGAAAACTTTTTTTGTTTGTGTATTTTTTTGGGGGGGGTTGGTTTGATTATAGTGGATTAAAGAAATTTTCCTTGCTCTCTAAGAATAAAAATGAAGGAGCAGTTTTATTTAGCACTTCAAGCATTCTTAAAAGCATAAAAGAATCAAATTCAAATGGTGAAGCAATCTGTCAGTTCTCATCTCATGTAAATAAGATAGCCTTTTAAAATATGTCCTGTTCTTATGGAAGGAATACTGTATTTGTATAAAAAAGCTTTTTGTTGCTCTGTATTGTAACTTCTTATAATATTAATGATGATAACTTAAGCCTAAGAGAAAGACTTATTAGATGTTATGTTGATTAAGACACATTACATTGTGTAATAACTGAAAAATTAATCATCTCTTTATATGTCCCAGGCTGCAAAGCGAGAACTAGAAAGGCAACGACAACTTGAATGGGAACGGAATAGAAGACAAGAACTCCTAAATCAAAGGAATAAAGAACAAGAGGACATAGTTGTACTGAAAGCAAAGAAAAAGACTTTGGAATTTGAATTAGAAGCTCTAGTGAGTAAAGTTTGATTATGCTTTGTGAATACATTAACATTGAGCCTTACAAATGGTAATATCTCTTATCTTTCATTTATTAAAGAATGATAAAAAGCATCAACTAGAGGGGAAACTTCAAGATATCAGATGTCGCCTGACCACCCAAAGGCAAGAAATTGAGAGCACAAACAAATCTAGGGAGCTGAGAATTGCTGAGATCACCCATCTGCAGCAGCAATTACAGGTGAGCACATAAGTCCCTGGAAAGCTTTTAAGACTATGTGTTTTCTCTTATTTATTTCATTTATTTATTCATTCAACAAGAATCAAGCATCCATCCTGAAACCAAGATAAAAAGTGAAGATTCTTATCTGAAAGATAAGCATTTGGGCACACAGCTAATTCCTTCTCAAGAAATAGCTGTCCCCACTAGCAATTCAGTGTAGTTTTCCTGCAGAGGATTAGAGGTAAGGTTAGAAGTTTGTGAGGGCCCAGAAAAATGACTTTTGTCTGCTTGGCCTTGAATCTGGATGGGGTAGTTTTTGCCCTCGGTCATTCATTATCGTTTCCCTCCTTTTCCCCTTAGGAGTCTCAGCAAATGCTTGGAAGACTTATTCCAGAAAAGCAGATACTCAATGACCAGTTGAAACAAGTTCAGCAAAACAGCCTGCACAGTAGGTGTTTTATTTTTCAAGTTGTCCTTTTTTGACTGGCAAGACTTTCTATAAGTAAAACAAAAACTGTAAAAGCCAATTTTCCTTCCTGCCACTTTGTTTTTCTTATCTCGCAGTAGTTTTTTTCCCCCTTGTTTGTTTATTTGTTTTTAAATAGGAGATTCACTTCTTACACTCAAAAGAGCCTTAGAAGCAAAAGAACTAGCTCGGCAACAGCTACGAGATCAACTGGATGAAGTTGAAAAAGAAACTCGATCAAAACTGCAAGAGATTGATATTTTCAATAACCAGCTGAAGGTAACCATTCTGTGTGTGCCTCCATGTGTGCCCTACCCTTTCGTTTTTCTAACTGGCTAGATGGGTTAGTCAATACTTGGGACTTAGGATTTAGCTTCACAATTTTATCGTCTTAAGAATGTTCACTCTTATCCTGTAATAAGGCCAGAATGTGAACATTTCATTTCCTGTCACAAATGATTTAGGTGACAACTTTAAGTTCAAGTAGATACTGCAGTTTTAATCTATGTTCCTATAAGAACACAATTTTATTATATTCGTTTGTCAGCCTTTGTGAAAGCTTTCCCATTTATAGATGAACACTGTAATCTAATATGCCTTGTTCTCCTTTAAAATGTGAGATTGTATCTGGCATCTATACACTGGGGCTGAGCGAGTGGCCCCAACGTGGTAGCTACCTAAAACTCAAATTCTGTTGTTACGCTTTTCCATCCTTTTGTCTGTTGATAACCACAAGTTGGACCCCAACAGCAGGCCTCCAAAAGCTTCATCCTTCTTACATTCTGGGAACACTACCAAAAAGGAATCGTTTTCTCTTCTAATGCCAAGAATATTTCTGCCGCTTCTTACCTTCAAGATTGTGCTTTGATTATAGAGCTTTATCTTGTTACCTCACATTAAGATTTTTTCTCTTGATTAATGGAGTATTGTCTTTTGTCTCCATGACAGAAATGGTATATGGTTTTGTCACACAGGAGAAAATTCAGGAAAAGGCCAGAGCTCTTTGGAGTGGAAAAGTAGTTGGATCACAGCCTCTTCTGCTCCGGGACTTAGGATTTAGCTTCACAATTTTATCATCTTAAGAATGTTCACTCTTATCCTATAACAAGGCCAGAATGTGAACATTTCATTTCCTGTCACAAATGATTTAGGTGACAACTTTAAGTTCAAGTAGATACTGCAGTTTTAATCTATGTTCCTATAAGAACACAATTTTATTATATTCGTTTGTCAGCCTTTGTGAAAGCTTTCCCATTTATAGATGAACACTGTAATCTAATATGCCTTGTTCTCCTTTAAAATGTGAGATTGTATCTGGCATCTATACACTGGGGCTGAGCGAGTGGCCCCAACGTGGTAGCTACCTAAAACTCAAATTCTGTTGTTACGCTTTTCCATCCTTTTGTCTGTTGATAACCACAAGTTGGACCCCAACAGCAGGCCTCCAAAAGCTTCATCCTTCTTACATTCTGGAACACTACCAAAAGGAATCGTTTTCTCTTCTAATGCCAAGAATATTTCTGCCGCTTCTTACCTTCAAGATTGTGCTTTGATTATAGAGCTTTATCTTGTTACCTCACATTAAGATTTTTTCTCTTGATTAATGGAGTATTGTCTTTTGTCTCCATGACAGAAATGGTATATGGTTTGTCACACAGGAGAAAATTCAGGAAAAGGCCAGAGCTCTTTGGAGTGGAAAAGTAGTTGGATCACAGCCTCTTCTGCTCCGGGACTTAGGATTTAGCTTCACAATTTTATCATCTTAAGAATGTTCACTCTTATCCTATAACAAGGCCAGAATGTGAACATTTCATTTCCTGTCACAAATGATTTAGGTGACAACTTTAAGTTCAAGTAGATACTGCAGTTTTAATCTATGTTCCTATAAGAACACAATTTTATTATATTCGTTTGTCAGCCTTTGTGAAAGCTTTCCCATTTATAGATGAACACTGTAATCTAATATGCCTTGTTCTCCTTTAAAATGTGAGATTGTATCTGGCATCTATACACTGGGCTGAGCGAGTGGCCCCAACGTGGTAGCTACCTAAAACTCAAATTCTGTTGTTACGCTTTTCCATCCTTTTGTCTGTTGATAACCACAAGTTGGACCCCAACAGCAGGCCTCCAAAAGCTTCATCCTTCTTACATTCTGGGAACACTACCAAAAAGGAATCGTTTCTCTTCTAATGCCAAGAATATTTCTGCCGCTTCTTACCTTCAAGATTGTGCTTTGATTATAGAGCTTTATCTTGTTACCTCACATTAAGATTTTTCTCTTGATTAATGGAGTATTGTCTTTTGTCTCCATGACAGAAATGGTATATGGTTTTGTCACACAGGAGAAAATTCAGGAAAAGGCCAGAGCTCTTTGGAGTGGAAAAGTAGTTGGATCACAGCCTCTTCTGCTCCGGGACTTAGGATTTAGCTTCACAATTTTATCATCTTAAGAATGTTCACTCTTATCCTATAACAAGGCCAGAATGTGAACATTTCATTTCCTGTCACAAATGATTTAGGTGACAACTTTAAGTTCAAGTAGATACTGCAGTTTTAATCTATGTTCTTACAAGCAAGGGGATTTTACACTTTCCCAAATATTCATTTTTCTTTTCCAACTTCCAACTTAGAATCCTTTATAATGGATCTAGGCCAATTTAGCTTTTGACACTAGGAAAAAGTAAAAACCTCCTTCTTTACTACTAAAAACAGGAAAAAATTAGAAAGCATATTTCAGATTTTTAGTTGTCCTTTGAATTGAGATTCTAGGCCAAATTGTCTAGACGTCTGAGTTTGAGGTATTTGTGCTGGTTTTTTTGAGTAGTAGGTGATGAACTTTTCTCACAATTCCAGGAAATACTCTTAGGGGAAATATTATTTGAGCCAACTTAGTGTTTTTCTTCATTTGTTTTCATGATTACATTGTGTGTGTATGTGTGTGTGTGTTTGTGTGCACTGTATGTGTGTTCTGTATGTGTATGCATGTGATATGTGGTATGTAAGCATTGCAAGTACAGCTGTGAATTCTCTTGTCTGCAATAAGCACAATAAAAATGCTCACATAAACTCTTCATTGTGACTTGTCACTATTTCAAGCAAAAAGACTATGACACTGTTGCAAGTTTACACTGTTTTTTTAAGTAGTCTCTTGGAATAGAAACTACTCAGGAATCTTCTGAAGCCAGGCAGTAGTCCAGATTTCTGCCTTAATCTTAACATTCCTTTTTCTAGAAATTTAATTTCCAGAACAAGCATCACATATTAGAAAATGATACTCTACTGGGTGATTTTTGACTAATGCCAAGGCAGTTATGGATTATTTTGGTTATTGAATTTGCTATTGCCATTGCTAAAGAGAACACCCTAAAAGTGTGGCATCAGTCACCTAGCTGTTGAATCAGTTGCTTAAATCAGCTGTTTCATTCATGTTAGAGAGATGCTTAGACAAAGCCTACTTTTGCCTCTTTTTTCCATCAGTGCTTTTTCCAGATATACTTATTTTTAAATAAGAACATTTCTGTTCTAATTTTAATTTTGGTTTTCTGTTATTAAATTCAAATAAATTATCCATTATTTAAATTTAAGTTAATGCAGAGAGTTAAAAAACCACAAGCCAGTGTAGTTGTATTGTTAGGACTTAGTCATTGAGTTACTCATTAAAGTTACAAGTTCATTATGTTGCCTTATGCTTGTTATTTCTAATAACTTCTCAAAACTGGGCATACAAACACAGACAACATTAATTGAAGAACTGAAAGATTTATAATTTGAGATAATTCCAAGGCAGACTTATGATTTATTTTTTTTTAATTTATTTTTAAAAAAGATTTATTTATTTATTTATACATGCACTGGGTACAGTCAGAAGCGCCGGAGGGTGAGAGAATTCACCAGAGCCAGAGCGGGGGTGGGGGGGCAGAACAGTCAGAAGGACCGAAGGACACTGCTGAGGGGCGCAGCGGGCGTGGGACCCTCCTCTGGTGGCCGGGGAGCAGCTGGGGATGGGACCGGCGCCGCAGAGGCTGCGGGCAGCCTCGCAACCCAGTGCTCAACCGCTGCGCCACCGGGGAGGCCCCAGACTTAGGATTTAGATCTTGACTGTCACCTGCCTACCTTTGTGGGCACACTGGGAACATAAAAGTTTTCTTTCTAACTTTAGCACATGTGTTCATTAATGACTGAAAATTTTGTATGGTAAGATAGACCCAAGGACCCTTCCAATTTCATCATGCCTCTCTTGACATTGCAGTGGCTCCATGGCACCCATACTGCAATGCAAACACTGCTCCTGTCTTGCTGGGCATGGAGTGTTGTCCATTCGCCCGCAGTCCAATCTGATGGTGTGAGTTTGCTAAATCCTATGCACCCCCTCTCCCAAAATGAGACCAGCTGGACCATATAGGAAAGAAATTAGGACTTAACAGATTTTATATCCATGTTGACTTTTCACCTAGAAAAAGAGAGTATTATTTACTCATTATTCTAATGGCCTTGTGGGGTACAAATTTAAATTTGTTAGTTGACCAGACCATTACATCTATATTCAATGATGGACTCTATAAATGAGGATTACGTTTAGCAAAAATCAATTCTCACATTATTTTGGTGCAAAATTACTTGCAATAAGTTACATTCATTTTGATTTCACAGTCCAATCATGTCTAGTTCCTTAGATGTAAAACAGGGTCATGCACAGAATAATGGCTCCCTGCCTTAGCCCAGATTCTGAGGTAGAAGACAGACCTGGAAGTCTAAGTGTTTTTAGTTTCTGGAACAAAGAAGAGTTTAGAGACTAGGTATGTCTTATCATTTTCCTTTATTTTGAAAATATATAGTGTATGATTTAGTCATTTGTACTCTCTAGTCTACAATCACTCTTCTTTGGAGGGTCTCTGTATTTTTCCTTACTTCAGGAAGAATCGAACTCTTGCCTCCCTACCCAAGATCTGATAAACAATAATGTAAATTCTCAAGTCATTATTTAAAGAGGGACCAAGTTACTTCTTCAGTCAGATTGACAGATATTTGTTTCCTATGGATGGCAATATATTAAAGCCATAAGGCACTTTTTAATTAAGGTCATGTGTTGTTAAATGGCTCCGGATTCAGGTCTCTGGGTGTTTGGTGTTTACCTTGAGAGCTCATTCTTTCTTCCAGAAAAGGCTGCTTTCCCGTGGATTTAAATAGACATGTACCCCATGGACATGATATCCCAAAAATGACCCCAGCACATAGGTGTCTTCCTTTTTCTAATTTATCATCCCAAATCAAAAAGTACTTGAGAAAGGAAACAGGCAGGACTCTTTACCTCACTATAGTAAATAAACTTTACTAGGAGAGGATGGGAGAAAGGGGAAACAGTGGCACCCTGAGATATTGAAACTCTTGTGCTGAAATTCCCCGGTTGGCAGCCTTTGTATTTATGCTGACTTTTGATAGAAAGTTAGTCTTAGCTTTTTGATGACCAAATGAAATATTCAACCAGTGATTTGACCTGAATAATTGACTCTATTAGTAATTACTGCTAACATGAATTAATACTTCTGACTGTAATTCAGTAGCTCTGACTTGTTTTCCAAAGTTTTCTGCTTTTATCTGCAACAAATATTTTCTCCTGCTAAGAAATCAGTAATTTTGTATTCATCTTCTAGAAACCCCAATTTAAAATTACTATCTATGGCTTTCCCTTTTTACCTTATTTCATAGTAAAATCAACACTCGGCATTTTTTTGTGGTATCAAAGGGTGCAAAGATCATTGTTTTTCTTACATAGAGTGTTTACTTTAAAAAAAATTTATTATTTATACAAGAACTGGGGTACAGGCCAGATACGTGGGAGGGTGGGAGGATTCACCAGAGACAGAGCGGGGAACAGAACTGGCAGACTGATGAAATACACTGCTGAGGGGAGCAGCGGGCGGCAGGAGAGGTCTGCTTTGCCATGTGGCATTCTCACCGGCTGGCCGGGATCGAACCCGCTCTGCAGAGGCTGTGGACAGCTTCATAGTGTGGCGCTCAACCTCCTGCACCACCAGGGAGGCCCGAGTGTTTACTTCTTGTGTCAAATTTGATTCTAACACATGTCGTTAGCATTTCTGAGAAGGGCTTTCTGGAGAGTAGTGCCTGACTCCCTGGCCCTTGGCAATGTAAGCAGTTAATGTAGGGAAATGCTGACAGCCTAGCACCCCATGTTTTAGTGTTTTCACTATGATTCAGAGCAGCAGCACTATGATTCAGTACAGCTTGGAGTTCTCAGGGCTCCACTGTTTGCCAAGAGGCTAGATGTCACATTTCCTGTTGCCAGGCAAGGCCTGTCTGTCCCTCTCTAGTCAGCGTGACTGACAAGTCCTCACGTGCATGGCATAATATTGAGCATTTCTTTCTTCCCATCGGTGGCAGTGGAGGAGGCTGTGGTAGTACCTGCAAGTCTCCTGGGCTGCACCATTCCCTTAGACTTCTTTCTAAAG